CTAGCAACATAGCCCTGTTTGGAAGTTTGTAAGAAAACCGTTGCCGCTTGCCTCTTTCCTACAGGAACTAAACAGTGGTGGTTTGGTGGTGGGACTGACCTCACTCCAACCTACCTGGATGAAGAGGATGCCGTTCATTTTCACAAGACGCTGAAAGAAGCCTGTGACAAGCATGATCTGAAGCTGTATCCCAAGTACAAGAAATGGTATGTGGGGAGAGATGTGCTTGGGTTCCTTCTGTGGGAGCAGAAGGTGGCACTGCATGTCGCCAGTTAAGTCTGTTCTAGGAACTGTAGGTTCTGCTCTGCCTTTTGAAAAACATCAGGAGGCCCTAATGAAAATCAGTAGATGGGTACTGGGGCAAAATGTAGTCTAAAGCAACCTCTTAGTTACAGATGCCTGAGTTTTTCAAATCAGAGAGCTGACAACTAGGATCATAACTCCATAGCCTGAATAAAAACCAAGCTGACTCTATAAGATTTTGTAGGCCACAGACCTCACTAGGCAACCCAAAAACTCCTTTTAGCCTCGGGTATTAAACTAGGCCAAGACTTTAGCCCCATGGACTTGCTAATTTTCCTTGCAGTGAACTCAGGGTAAATGTGGATGACTAGTGTGAGCTCTTGGGCCAGCGCTGCAGTTCTGGAAATCTGACTCAAATTTTTTCTGCCTTCAGTCTGACCTTCATTACTTTTTTTTTCCCCGCCTTTATTTTTGCCAGGTAGGTAAAGGAGGTTGTCCTTAGTGTAGAAGCTTCGTTATTTTGATGGACCTGTACTGTTTTTCCAGTGACACATTCACTGAGGGTTCAACGACATATTCTCTAAAGATGTGAACTTTGAAATGTTCTTCTTGAGCCAAGAGATAGAGGTGATGGGATCCTTCACTGGTCGGTGGGGGCTTGCTGCTCTGTGTCCGATAATCCTATCTGCTACAAGCTGTGGTATCCAGGAGGGAGGGGTTACCCTTTTGTAAGCTACCAGGTCTTGTCTGAGGACAGGAGATAAAGTGGGTGTTGTAACTCGGGTGTGAACCACAAGCACATCTTACACAACCTTAAGACTACAGTCATCTTGTTCTCTGGGAGTTTTTGCGTGGTGCTTCAGCCTGTGGGCCTTAATGGTCAGGTTGTGGGCAGAGTAAGCAGGCTGGCAGTGCCAGCTACAGGGCGTCGGAGGGAAGGATGCCTGTTAGCCTGAGGGCAGCTAACTGTGTCCCAGGGGCAAAGGCAGTGTTCTCAGTCCCAGCATGAGTGTGTGCTGTAAGCTGCAGCTGTGTATAGTGGGCAAGGGGTTCCCCCTGCCCAAACAGTGTGAATCTCCTCTGAGCCTGACTAATTAGCATTGCCCCTCTTCCCGCTCTTCTCAAACATAAAAGCTCTTGTTATGTTTAACGCTGTTTTCCTGATCTGGCTTTAAGGTTTTGTCAGGCTTGTTCCCTTTTGCATTTTTGATTCCGCTTTTTTTTCCTAACTCCTCCTGATGCTCTCCCAAAAAAAAAAGAGTTGATCATCCCAGTGAGTAAAAAAATAGCTTAGGTTATCTGTTACATCCCCACGTCTCCTGCTATGGCCACGCTATCTGTATGGCTTGAGAACAGCAATGGATGGACACATGCATGGAAAACTAGTGCCAAAGGAAGGCTGCTGATGGTTTCAGCTTCCTACTTCCCTTCCATTTTTCCCACATGGGAAGTCTTGCAAGGCATGGCTGCCCAAGCAAACAACTGGAAGTAAGACAGGGTGTGGATACAATGAATCAGCTAATTTATAGTAATTGCACACCTTCACGCTCCCAGTAAATACAGAAGAGATTAATTGCCTCCCTGCGCTAGGATAAGCTGCACTTACTGCTTCATAAACTTGAACGTGGGCTGTGAACAGCCACTGCTAGAATGGCACTCTCTTCCAGGTTTAACTATTAAAAAGCTTTTTTTCAAGGAAGGCTGTCTCACTTTGGATTTTTCCATAGGTGACAGTGGCTTTCTTATCTGGTCTTGGGTTTTTAGATTCTTTTGGTTTTGATTCAGAAAAACCTTTCATTAGTAGAACGGCAAAAAAAATAAAGGGATTCTTTACTGAGATTATTTTGAGTCCATCTGAAAGCTGTGCAGAAAAACCTTTCACTAGAACGGCAAAAAGAATAAAGGGATTCTTTACTGAGCTTATTTTGAGTCCATCTGAAAGCTGTACAAATAACATGGGGTCTATATATAATAATAACCACCCCCTACCTCTTTTAGGTGTGATGACTATTTCTATATCAAGCACCGTGGCGAGCGAAGAGGGATTGGAGGCATATTCTTTGACGACGTGGACTCTCCCTCCAAGGAGGAAGTATTCCAGTTTGTGAAGAGTTGTGCCAAATCTGTTGTGCCTTGTTACATTCCCATTGTGAAAAGGCACTGCCATGACTCCTTCACACCAGAAGAAAAGCTGTGGCAGCAGCTTCGGAGGGGACGGTGAGTACTGAAGGAGCAAAAGAATACACAGGAGGTGGATGATGCTGGCGAGAGGAAAATGAACTGGTTCTTTATGGTTGTAGGGTTTACGTCCTGATGAGCATTTTATGTCCTGTTGTGGTGTGGGCTATGTTTGTGTAAGTGCTCCAAAGCTTGCCAGGGACTCTCAGTATTGTGTACAGAACCGTGTTTGAAATTGGTAGATTGATGGGGTGGGTGGAAAGAAGGTACTAGCACACCCTCATCCACAGCCTCCACTCTCCCATGCTGCAGCACAAGCACGCCATACAAAACGCCACAGTTTCTTTCCAGCTCCTTCAAAACCCAAGAGCAGCTGCTGCTTTGTAACAGGCAGAGGGCTGCGTGTGTGCTTGGTGTCCTGAATCCTGTCCTCTCTTGCAGCCCAGTGATACGGGTAATAGGACTGCCCCGTGGCATGAGGAGTGTAAGGGTGAACGAGTCACGCTTCGTATTCAGTAGTGAAGCCAGAAAGTCATGGAATAACTGTACCCAAGGGTACTTTCTTACATACGTACTGATTCCAGCTGATCTTGGCACTGAAACGAGGACACAGCAAAGTCTTTGTAAAGGAACAGATGCAGAGGGGCTCTGGTTTTCTGGCATGGTCTAGAGTCACTGTAATTTAGAAGACTTTGGAGGATGCTTATTCACGTGAACAACTGTTAATGCTGCAAAAGCCTAAGTTTATTGGTAGATACAGTTGTGTCCTTTCTCGATGCCCTGTGATTGCGCAAGCATACAGGGAAATGAGACTACATGTGCTTTGTGCAGAACTATGGAGTCTTCAGGTTTAGATCACTGGCCTGCAGCAGTTACTCAAGTAAGCGTATATGCTGAATTTGGTTCCTGGGAGCATTGGGCTTTCAGGATGCAGTCTGTGGACGGGATTTAGCAAATCTGCTAGGGTTATAAGGGGGAATAGCTTCTTCAAGCTGCAGCCAGGACCAGCTCGTGAGGCCTGCCTATTTCCCTGGATCTGTGTGTAGGTTATTGGGCTAGGCAAAGCTCTCGGTTTCTGCAAATGGATGAGAGATCTTCCCTTCCTGTAACTCTGTTACATACTAATACCTCAGTACTGGTTATTAGGATAACCCCTGCTGAATTGTCACTGCTCTGTTCCTATGCTGGGGGCAGAATAAACGTCTATTCCGGCACTTAAAAGTCCCAGACGGCGCTCCGAAGCTGTCTGACTTCTGCTTTCCGTATCTCCCCAAGAAACAAAAAAATCTTCTTCTGACCTTGCTGCTTATGTGTCCTTGAGCATGGAGGACTGCACAGTAGAGTTTTTTCTGTGGACATTTCCAGTTCCTTTAAGGCTCCTTTTAATACCTGTCACCACCACACAAAAGAATACTAGCGTAACCAAGCTACACTTGGTGTTGAGCTTGCCAGCAGGGTTGAGATAAGTAAGGATAAGTACTAGGATAAGTATAGCCCTGTGCAGAGTGCTCTCCTTGAACCAGTCTGTCTGCCCTGTCTGTTAGCTAAGGTCATGGCTTCCTGTGCTTTGTGGAGCAGAGAGGTTGCACTTGCATTCCTACGCAGAGGGTGCTGGACAGAGTTCATTCGGACACCTAACAAAGCAGGACAAGCTGGTTTTGTTTGGTGTCTGCTAGCTGAAGAAGACACAAGCAATTTCTGATAATAAACTTGGGGGTTTTTGTTGCATCTCTTCACTCCCCATAGGTACGTAGAGTTCAACTTGGTTTATGACAGAGGTACGAAGTTTGGCCTCCTGACACCGGGATCGAGAATCGAAAGCATTCTGATGTCTCTGCCACTGACTGCAAGGTAAGGGCATCGTTACATGGACTTGCAGGTAGGCACTGCTCTTACTAAAATACTTCACAGGATTAGATCAAAGGTCTGTCCTGGTGTCCAGTCTGTTAACAGTGGTTAGTTGGTGCCTGATGCAAGAACTGGCCAGATACATAGAGAGGCTTCTCGAGTCTGCTACGCTTGCCCAGTTGCCAGTAATGTGTGGCCTGGATATTTTCTGACAAAAAAGGGGTATTATTTGTGCTTAGTACCTCTGATAGATTTCCCCTCCTCACTGCATGGGTTTCTGTTTAGTAGCTCTTTGCAACCATGTGAGCTTCTGTCAGTTCTGACAAGCCTGTAGCAGAGTTCCACAGTTTAGCTGTGTGTTGTATGAAAAAGTGCCTCTTTGTTTTCTACTTGCACCTAACGACATCATTTGGCTTTTACATGAGTAGCCAGATTTTCCTCCTGTTCATTTTCTCCGTAACAGTTCTTATTTTACAGCCTTCTGTTTTTTTCACTGTCTGTTTTCCAGGCTGACAAATCCCCCTCTCCTTAGTCTTTGTACAGTTCCGTATCTTTGACCACATTTGCTCTTTTTCTCTGGGCTTAAGTTTTCTGTGCCCTTTCTGAACCGGGGATAAGGAACGGGCAGCGTGAGTTATGTGTGTGTATCCAAGATGCAGGTGTGCCGCTGACTCAGAGGGTGGCACAGTGATGTTTTAGTTCATTATTCCTTTTGTAATCCTAATAAGCTCTTTGCTGGTTTTGACTGCTGCTAAGCACTGAGCTGGCTTTTTGGTAGAACTGTTACGATGCTAAGATCTTTTCTGGGCAATAAAAGTTAACTCAGTCTCTCGACGTGTATGTAACATTTTTCTGTGTGCATCCCTTCAGATTGATCAACAGTGCATTTCACCTACTATTTTATTGCTCGGTTGCTTGGCTTGATACTAACTCTCTTCAACTGCCTTTTTAGGTTTTAACCTATCTTGCTTAATCTCGTAGTATCAGCAAACTGTCATTTACTGTTTATGCCCCTGTTTAGGTTGCTTTCAGACATGCTGAGTAGCACAGGCCCCATCATGAGTTTCCTAAGACTCCATTAGTGACCTCCCTCTGCTGGGATAACTGTCCTTTGCCTGCTGCCCCTTAACCATGAAGGCAGTCCTGGTCTCACCATACAGCTTCATCCTGCTGGTAGTGTGGCACAGTCCTACCTTCTGATTTCATCTGGTTTTCCTTGTTTTCGTCAATGTAAATAGCTTGCTTCACAGCATGAATGGGTCCTTTCTGGGAGGGAAAAACATGGAAAAAGGTTGTACCCATCCTTTTGTGACTGCTGACACTTTTCTTCCTCTGTTGTGCCTCTTAATTGCCTTTTCAATAAAAAGTGATTTCTTGTCATTTTTAAAACCAAGACTCCACAAGGACTTGTAGTGCTTCCAGTCCAGCTTTTGGAAAAACTTGTCCTGGGCAGCTGAAGGTATTGCGTCAGGATCAAATGGTAAAATTTGAAGCTGGGAATTTCCCTTAGGTCTCGCATCCTCACCGGGGATACTAGTGTTTCCTAGGAGACCGCTTAAAGATATTTGCAAATAAACCTGCATGGTTTGTGGGGTAGGGGGGCATTGCTCTCTCTTTTTTCTTTGCTCTTCCAGCCTTTCCAGAAGATGGGAAAAAGATCAAGCTAACATTTCTTATGTCTCTTCCAGTGTTATTATTTGTTTTTACTGCACTTAATGATTTGTAGCCACCTCTGTCACCTGATCCGGGAGTGTCCACTGTGTGTGTAGCTTTGCGTCCTCTGAAAAGGCAGCTCGGGTCCAACCACAGCCTGGTGCAGGAGAGGTCTGGGCAGCCTGAGTGAGTCTCCCCTCTCCCTGCAGGTGGGAGTACATGCACAACCCTCCGGAGAGCTCCAAAGAAGCAGAAATCCTAGAGGTGCTGCGCAATCCCAAAGACTGGGTGCACTGACACGGGTCACGAACAAGATTGATTGCTTACACTGAGCCATTATGAAAGAACTGGAAGGCCCGCAAACCGGCTCCTTCGAACTGCTGTTGCGTGGCGTTTTAAAAGTATAGCTATTTATACTCTTACCTGGTGCCTTAATAATGCTGTAGACTTGTTGTAACTTGCAAGTAGGTGAACTCATTCTTTAAGATCGATCAGCTAATGTTATCACCCCCTGTTGATGTTGCCTTGTGGACTGGTGATACCCTCACAGGACTACTGTGCATGCTTAAGAACCTCCTCAGCTGAGTCGTTTGACTGCAAAATGGTAAACTACTGTGATGTGTTCTCCCAGTGGAATGAAAGCGTTATCTGTGCCTAAGTTGTGCTGCTTACTCTTAGAAAATGTTGGGATGTCTTAAAAATATTTTTTAAAGAATAAAGGGAATATTTGGTATGATTTTAAATCTTAAACTCTGCTTTCAAGAAGTTGTGAAAAAGGTGGTACTTAACCACGTGTATTTTGATGCTCATTGACTTGGGGGGGGCGGGGGAGGAGTGTGTTTAGGTGCGTTCCAGTGGCGTGACTTGACTGATGGGTAACTGGGAGATTCTGGTTTGGGGCCGCACCTCGCCTGTGGAGAGTGGAGGGCTGGCTGTCCATTTTCGGGAGAAACTCTCCGGGCTGTGCATCTCAGCTGTGATCAAGACACCATAGCTGCTCTGCCTACCATGGCTCCTTTGCCAGGGAGGTTGGGAACAGAGGGGGAAGCTGTCGGGTGTTGCCTGAGGCCCTCCAAATAGCACTTCACACTGCTCC